TTATGTACAGGTACAATTCCCAATGAGAAATGTAATTGTGTTGTATACCTACAATGTACCAATAAAAGAATTTAATACAAAAAAAATAAAAGAAGAAGAGCATTCCATTTACAGTGTACATTTGATAGTTTTGATGGCTACAGACACCTGTGAAACTACTGCCTCTACCAAGACAGGATGTTTTAGCCTGGTAGGCACACACCTGCAGTCCCAGCTCAGCAGGCTGAGGCAGGAGAATCACAAGTTCAAGGCCAGCCTGGATGATTTAGGGAGGCCTTGTCTCAAAGTAAAATATAAAAAATTATCCCTGGGTCCAGCCCTCGCTTTGGAGCTAGGGCAACGGAAGAACATTTTCATTCTTCCCAAGAGATTTGACTTTTTATTTTATTTTACTTTATTAGTATGTGTTTGCAGTTCATGTAGGTTACAGTCATCCTGGGGCATAGAGATTTGACTTTTGAGTTGATTGCACTGTGATAATTTTGTGATGGCCCTTATGATAGTCGGTGATGGCTGGGCATGGTGGCACAGACATGTGATCCCAGCACTAGAGAGGCTGAGGCAGGAGGATTGCTGAAAGTTCAAGGCCAGCCTGAACTACACACCAAGACCCTGTCTTTAAAAAAAAAAACACGATAGTACCTTGCTATGTTGGTGTATTGGCCACATTCTGCAGAACCCTGTGCTCCTAGGGACTTCTGGCGGGCAGGTCCTAATTAGTTGCTAGGCATCTTTGCACTTTTATGCCTCTTCCAAGTGGGCTGCTTTCCAGGGAGGCATTTGGTTCCCCTCTTGGCATTCAGAGGTAAGGCAAGGCACTGAATAAGTTCTCAGAATTAAGGAGATGTGGGGCACATGACTCTGCCTCAGGAGATTGCCTGGAGAGATGGCACAGACATTGAAATAGGATTGATTTTTATCAACCTGGGATTGTTCTCAGCCATTTTTTTTTTTTTGGTACTGGGGATTGAACTCAGGTCCTTGCCCTTGTGGAGTAGGTGGCAGAACCACTGAGCTAAATCCCCAGCCCAGGCATTCTTTCTAAATAGACAAAATAGCCTTCCAACTTAACCTTTAACCATTTCTTGTCTATGATGGCTTCATCTTTTTTTTATTTTTTGATTTAGGACAGGGTCTCATTATGCAGTTCAGGCTGGCCTTGAACTCACTATGTAGCCCAGGCTGGCCTTAAATTTGTAGCAATCCTCCTGCCTCAGCCTCCTGAGTGCTGGGACTACAGGCATGCACCACCACACCTGGCTCTGATGACTTCATTTTTATTAATAGTTATTGGGGCAGAGGAGCCACTAGATGTCACTCTGGCTTTATTTTCTGAGATACTCTAGTGACATTTTTCAATCTTTTAAATATAAAGTTTAGATTTTTTTTTTAAACAGTAAGTTGAAAACCACATTTAAAATGTTATCAAAAAGAGAAGATGGGGGTGCGGGTTGTGCTTGGCATGTAACAAGGCCCTGAGTTCTATCCATGGTACCACCTGCACCCTCAGAAAAGGAAAAAAAAAACTTAGCAAAATAAAGAGAAAAAGATTGGGAAATATGTAAAATCAAAACCCATAAATGAGAATTTTGAAAAGATGTTAACCAAGAGCATGATACGCGATTTCTAAAGAAGTCAGAGCAGTGATCAGGCAGAGGACATTGAAGGGGCTGCTTGGTGTCGGAGCACCAGGATGGACTCCGCATTATGTTCTGGGAGCTCAGTAACAGTAGGAATTTTCCTTACAGAGACAGAAAGTATGGCTGAGACCTGCATTGGGTGCAGTTGTCTTGAAGGGAAGAACCTAATTAATAGAGTAGATGTAACTGTAAGGGTGAGGCGAAGGTAGGAGGGAAGCAGCAGAGAGAAAATAGGATGAGGCGCTTCATTCAGATACTGAGCTAAGCACCCTTTCTCTCAAACCAGGAGGAACTAGGAAGGGTTTTGTTTTGTGTTTCTTTTTTTTTTAAAATTAAATTCTTTTATTGGTACATTGTAGGTATACAACACAATTACATTTCTCATTGGGAATTGTACCTGTACATAACGCATCTTGGTTCTTATTTTTTCCCCATTCCTAGCCCTCCCTTCACCCCCTCCACCCTTCCCTATTTACAAAGACTTTATTT